GTTTTTTTTTTTTTTTTTTTTACAGAAAGACAACAATTATTCCTGTAAGGCTAAAAGAAGTAAAACTTGCATTATGAATGTAAATATTCTAAGAATCTTATCTATAGTGTTGTTTTAATTCATAGACTTAAATATTACATTTTGTTAGCTTTTAAGTTTTACATTCATAAAATCGTGTTGTGTGGGGAAACGGGTCACGGAGGGAAAACTTAGAAAACCTTTAGCAGGCGGAAATCTGATCAGATGCAAGTACGCTTCAACTGATTACTTTTTCTATTGGACTCCTCACTCTAATTCTGTCACCCTCCAATGGAAACTCATTTCAGCCAGTTGTTCCTGGCATTTCAATCTTTTAATCACAATCAAAGACTGAAAACCAGAGTGTAGAGTCGGAACACAGACTAGGAAGCTCAAGAGCTTTTGGTTTTTAACTCACCTCTTTCTGTACCACAGCAGCCACCGCCCCAGTTTGCCTATCTGGCTTCTTTATTTCCCCACCATTAGTCATTGAGAAATCTAAATATTTTTACTACCTTAAACACTGACCTATACGTAGTAAAATTATTAGTAGTATTAGGTCAGTATTTAAGGCAAATACTGACCTATTTTCCAAGTATATGCAGAATATTCATTACTGTTGCATAGCAAGCTAGTATTAGCTGATTAATTACTCAGACAAGCTGTTGCATGCTTACAAGCTGTAGTGTTACAACAGCGTTAAGTTAAGAGTGGTTTTTGGCTCTCCTTCAGGTGTTTTGGACATGACTTGCCTGCGTTTTTCCTACCACAAATTTCTCCAGACAGCTGACTTTGTTTTTATTGTAAATCATTGTAGTGTAGAAAAAAGGGCAGGAACCTTCTTTTCTTCCTGCTGACTTGCAGTGCTCAGCAGCGAGTGGAAAAGGGGGAAACTCTTAATCTGTGTTGCATTCAGTAACAATCTCAGTAAGAAAACTTTAAAGTTTGGGAGCGATGTGACATAAATCTCTTTAAAACTGTGGTACACACTTTTGGATTTTTATCTAAAACGGGAAGATCTTATATGGGTTTGATTTTTATTTCAAATTATATGCGTTAAAGACATTTTTTAAGGCCTTCACAAACCTCATCCAGTGGCGTTCACGCTGCTTTACGGCAATTTTAATGTTAATTTTCAGGATCTCTGACGCCATTATCTATTCCTTTCCAATGCTGACTGCAGGTAGAAACAAACAAACAAACAAAAAAACATTAAAAAACTTGAAAAATATTTATTTTTTCATGTTGTTAACAAACCAGTAAAACCCAACATCCCCCCACCCTCAATCACAACAAGCAGCCTTGTTGAATGAGGGACTAGACAAGATACAGTTGTTAGCTGACATGCAGCAGGAATGCACTTGGGTTGCAGTAGATGGCTCTCTGATTTATTGGCTCTAGCTGTGAGCTCTTTATCTTAAATCATGCCTGCATGCAGCGATTCATTTTCATTTTATTTCTGTCGGTGTTGTAAATCCCAACACCCGTGACCCATGGAGTCTGAGATCTTATCTTTCATACTTTGGAAACAGGAAACCTTTGGAGGGCCTCACAGATTCTTGAAGATCATCTGGAGGTTTGCCAAACGACTCCAATCCAGATGTTTTAAAAGAAAGAATATTAACTTACTGTATATGCTCTGCTGACACATTCTAGGTATCATAAATGTACGTAAATTTAGGCCAAAATGTTACAAAAGTTAGATTTATTGTGGATTGCTGTTGCTTTTACTGCTGTGAGTCATAAAAACAAAGAGTTAGAGCACAGAAGGGGTTTAAGTGTGTCGCAGAAACAAGTATTTTTCCCAGCCAGCTAAATGCTGGTGCCGAAAGGACGCTAAGGACAGGTTGTCTCTCAGTCACTGTGACAGGCTTTATGGTTGAGCATTTCACTGTGTTGAGGAAAAAAAAAAAGAAAAAAAAAGATGCAGGTAGGGGAGGAGGAACAAAAAGACAAGGAGGGTGAGGTACAGTCAGCCAGGCAAATCCGCCTGCCGCTTGCAGTCAAAACCACAAGGCATCTGTGTACAACTTCACATTCTCCTGCTTGTGTTTGTCTGCGTGTGTTTGTGTGGTTCTCGAGCCCGCAACAGGAGGGAGCACACAGTCGTCTCCTCTGGTCAATAGAGCCTAATTCGCCACAGGTAGCCCAGAGCCTCAAAGGCGACTTCCCTTCAGCTCAACTGTGCTGAAGCCTTTCATCCACACCGTGGGGCCCATGGTGATAGTAGTAGGGGTAGGGGTGTGTGCATTGGTAGGAGATTGGGGGTTGCTATCAGCGAGACCCATTATCCAATGGAGGCAACAGATATGGAAGTGTTGTCGCCTGGGGTCTGGTTGCTTCTCCTGCAATCCACCCGAAGACAGAAACTGTCCATTCCTTAGTGAGCAAGGCCGCATTGTTTCTGAATTTTTCTGTCATCATCCTTTGCCTCTGCGTACCTCTATTTTTTTTTTTTCTTCACACAAACCCCTTTTATTTACCCTTGTCCTAGATATGCCTGTGAATCCCAGCTGTCTTTCTCTTACTGTGGCTCTCTCTCATCCGCATTTTCATTGCTGCTGCGTGGCACTACTGAGGACGACTGTGTTCAACTCAAGCAGTGTAACAGCACCTCTTCACTTTCTCTGCATGCTCTACAGGCAGCCTAATGGAGGAAATCAAAGTGCTCAAACACGATTAGATTCAGTATGCACACCACATTCCAGTCAGGCCTTCTTTGATTGATGGAGCTTATCCTTTTTAAATTCACCCAACAAATATCTTTGACAGGGGAATATGGTTTTGTTTAGCGTTTGCTGATGTGGAATGGATTCATATCAGGAAGGTATCAACATTTCATCTATAAAACGTTCTTATATTTGCCTTCTATAAAATGTAAATACAGACTTACTCACTCTGCTCCAGTGAATCTCATAAAATACTTCCTCTTAGTTTTCCTTAGTGGCTGATGTTATGACGTGCACCATTTCCTTTTTTTTTTTTTACCTCTAGACTAAGACATATTGGTTTTGCCCTGGGCGTTGCATGAGTTACGACATGGCCACTGTAACACAGTATCAGTGGTTGAAAGAAACTGTAAAATGAATGTTCTGGCACTGTGGCTATACATACAGGTTGGTGCTGCTCCAGTGAAATTTAATTAGCCATGCCACGAACTCTTCCAGGCAGGAATGATTGCCAAAAGGATGTTACTCTAATTACTGTTCTCCTCATCAGACTCACCAACTCAAATAAGCAGTATTTAAAAAATGCAGGAGGTAATACAGGGGAGATATATAAACATTACATTTTAAGATAAAAAACATGTTTACAGCACTATGTAAAAGTATTCTTACCACTCTCAAGCTGCAGCTATAAGTTTCACTCTATTTTATTGTACATGTTGTGACAAATCAACACAGTTCTACACAGTTGTGTTGTGAAAATGAAATATTAAGTCTGGTACAGTAAATCTGAAAAGTGTGCCCTGCATTTGTACTCTAATACTGTTTAGGAATTCTAAAAGTTGGAATCGATGTTATTTGAGTTGTCAAACCCAGAAGTTTGGAATTGACTTCAGCTGTTTTGTCAAAGCCATTTGTAAGAACATTTGCAAGCCGTCATTCAAAATCAAGAGTCCGGCAAAACTGCAAACAAAAGAGATATTCATTCACAGGAATTGACAAACCACATTGAGAGGGAATTAGTCTGAGTAGGAATCAAGAGATTCGTGTCATGTCTGAAGGATCTGCAGGTATGCACAACCAAGTTCGGATAATCTTTTAATAAATGAATATTATTGTGTTTCTCTTGTCAGGCTTTTAATGAAGTTTGGCACACAAAAAAAATGGCTTTTGCAAAAAATGCAACAAGCTATGTCAGGAACGTAATAACAAAGAAGGAAAATGCTGAGGTTAGATTAGAGAGAATATCAAAATGTTTAACTCTGCACATCTATATAAAAATGCCAGTCCATCTTGACTGGAACATATGGTGCTGGTATCTTTATGCTGTGGGATGTTTCCTTCAGCAGGGACAGGGGAGCTGCTGAACATACAAACAGATGTAGAATGGAACAACTTACATCAAAGTACATTTGTCAGAATTTAAACATTTATTTTTCACAGATACTTCCTATCCAGTCTGTCTGAGCATAGACTATTCTGATATAAGATTGGGCAGCAAATTCAGTCTCTAGATCTGTAAAGCTATCATTATTAATTAATGTGTGTTTTGAAATAAACATTTCCTATAAAATACACGCATGCTTGTTAGAAAATGAAAATAATTTCAAGGGGTGTGAATTTGTAATTCCCTGTACAGCTGTATTGATATCAAAGAGATATAGTTAGGACCACATGCAAAAACAATATTGCGACAATATTATGGCGATAATAATGATGGTAGCAAAATGAGTTGAGATATTTGCCTGTTTTCTTTCTTTCTCATCCATCCCTCCATCACTCTGTGGCCTTAACATTTTTGAGCAATGTCATTTGTGTCTAGTGTGAACATCTGCTGCCGTAATGCTCTGTCCAACTGGGTAAATATCACATTAGCTTTTAAAATGCAGGTTCATAAGACTTGGAATATATTAGTCAACAGTTATTGGACGCCAAGCAGTGGCGCCAAGTGAATATTGCACACACTGATAATTTGCTGATAAAATATTAGCACTATATTGTGTAGCCCTAGAAAGAACAGCGGACCAAACCTTTAAACTTTCCAATTCTGCTTTTAAAAATGTGTACATTATACATGTGAAATACCCCCCCACCCCCCCAAACAAAAAAACAAGCTGAACGGACCAACAAGTAGCTTCACCTGTTGTTATTTTTCATGCACTGTTCCTTTCTATTTTCTCTAAATGTACAAATGTGTCTCCCTTGAAAGCACAGTTCATAAATCTCATGGTTTCTCCGCTGAGCTGCACACAACAAATGTCAGTGCTCAACCAAATCATAATTCTCTTCTCCCCCCCCCTCCGTCTGTCTGCACAGCACCGCCTCTGTCGGAAGTCACTACAGCCACACAGCCTCAGAGAACTACGACCGTCACTACAACAACCACAGCACACTGGGGTGCGGCCAACACTACCACAACGGTGCTTAAGGAGGGCAGCAGGCGAGCACCCAAGCCGCCGCCTGTAATCCCACAGACGACTTCTCCTCCGCCTCTGGAGTCCTTCCCCTTACCTGAGCGGTTCTGCAAGGCCACTGAGAAAAGAGACATAATGTGGCCTCAGACCCAGAGGGGCATGCTGGTGGAGCGACCTTGTCCCAAGGGAACACGCGGTAAACAGGGCTTTGTCTCACCACAGGGATGTGGGCGCGCTGTGTACGATAAACCCTAAGCATCTCAAGAGAACATCCCTGAGTTTGTCAGATCTGGCTGATACCCCTGCATACCAGTGTATTTTTATTTTCAAAGAAAGTTGCTACTGAGCTAAGTGACAACAATTTGGTACAGAGTAAGGCTTTTAGCTTTTGAATTCTAGGTCTAAATTTGATTAAGTAATGTGTGCCGGAGAGAAAGCCGGCTCACATGTACTCCTCTGAGCTTACATGGAGGCCTGTGCTCCTTCTTTTGTTGTGTCTGAAATCATGCTTCGACTTTGTCAGACACGGGACTGATTAGAAGACAGGAAACATTTGCTACTTTGACATAAAAGCGTGCAGAGGAGAAAGCAAATATTTCCAGAAACCAAAACATTTGAATGACTGTCATTCTGGCTTACAGGATCATCCTCTGATCTGTGCTTTTCTCCTCTGTGGTCCTGTGGATAATTTTTTGGAAAACGGGTCTGTGATTTGAGTTGATTCAACCTAACAAATCTTTCCTTGTTTTTCCTGCCAGGCACGGCATCTTATTTATGTCTTCTTTCCACTGGGGACTGGCACCCAAAGGGCCCTGATCTTAGCAACTGTACCTCCCACTGGGTCAACCAGCTGGCCCAGAAGGTTTGTTCAAGCGTCCCTCACTGTTCTTTTTATAAGTGGAATGTGTTGCTGAAAACAGGATAATACAATAACGTAGATGTGCATCTGGATTGATTGTGTCACTATCATGACGATTTCAACAAATAAAGGCCGCTATTACTTAAACTCTTTGTGTGAGCTTTAAAAGATGACGAGGCGTGTGAAACATTATCTCAGGTCAGGTAAAATTGTAAAATAAGCTTTAAAAAAAAAAAGTGATGTACAGTGCCTTGCAGAAATATTCATACGCATGTTTGCTTTCTCACATTTTGGCACATTACAACCACAGATGTTAATGCATAGACAACCATGTCAATAATTTTAAAATGGAAGGAGTAAACAAATCTGATCAGTATGAAACAGTTTTATTTAGACTCCTTCAGTAAATGCTTTGCACAACCACCTTTTTTGCAAATTAGTGTCAGCGAACATGAATCTTGAAGTTATCCTACACATTTGCGATTGGATTTTGGTCTGGACTTTGAGTCATTCTAATTTGAATAGACTTTAACAAACTGAATTATAAATGTGGTTCCCTGTTAAGGGTTTTGTATTGTTAGTGAACGTGGTCTTAAGTCTGTGTAGCGCAACACTGTAAGAACCATGTTTAACATTGAAGATGGTGCATTCATGAGGTGATGTGCAGTGGTAGCATGCATGCAGATTAGAAGGGTTGATTTTGATTTCAGCTGACCAAAGCACCTTCGCCCAGATGTTTGCTGTCTCCTATAAATTCTTCATAGTAAACTTTAAGCGATACGTTTAATGACTTTCTTCCTGCCCCTCTCCCATAACGCCCCCCAGACTTATTTTTTGCCTCACTACATTTGAGAATGATATTAATTTGGCCTGCCAGCTAAGGCTAATTCATGTAGATTAAGGCTTTGTTTCCTGACAAATTTAAATCTTACAACAGTAAATTTTAGATACAAAAACTTTTGCATTTTCCTGTCCATGCTTTTTTCTTTTTTTTTCTTTTTTTTTTCTTTCATAGTAAATAGTAACATATCAGCAATCTTTACGCAATGTCGGACTTCAGTAAACCCCAATTTGCTCTTAGTTACTTTATTAAACTTTGCTAAGTGTATTAAGCATTTCAAAAGAAAGCATAATCCAACTATTCAGATTGAGGTCTTAGTCTGAGTAGATCAAGAGTTTGCTGTTATCTTTTCATTTTGTAAGGTGTTTAAAGTTTGGCCAAATATTTTATAACCCTGCCCAGCTTTAAATTTTCTCCACAGATCAAGTTTTGACTTGTCTTTCCTCTTGTATATGATGACATGTGTCAACTAATTTTCTGTGACCAATCTCTTAGGCCCTCACAGAACTAGAGCTAGGTCAACTTTACTTACTAATCATGTGACTTCTGATTTGAGCCTGCTGCAGTTGATTTTGGAGGATCAGAGGAAAGGCTACAAATAAATGCCACTTTTCATATTTATGAGCTGCATAGTGTTGATTTGTTCCAAGAGAATTTAGTGGACATGAATATATTTGCAATGCGCTGTAAGTGACTGTACAGTAAGAGTGGTGTAGGGGGCTCATTCGAGTGGTGATTGATATTACAAACCGGGTTGAAAACAGCCTTGGGCTTTGCACTCATTATTCACTCTCTTCCAATGCAGATCCGCAGTGGTGAAAATGCAGCTAACTTGGCCAACGAGTTAGCCAAGCACACCAAAGGCCCGATATTCGCTGGTGATGTCAGCTCCTCTGTGCGTCTGATGGAGCAGCTGGTGGACATCCTCGATGCTCAGCTGCAGGAGTACAGGCCCAGTGAGAAAGATTCTGCCGGAAGAAGCTTCAATAAGGTAACCATGACAACAAAACGTCAATTCCTTATGCATCAGAATCCAAGTCAACCTTCTTATCTATTCTCAAGAGAATAGACAAAAAGCATGTTAGCTGCCAAGATTAAATCTTGTTAAGGCAAGTCAATGTTCAAATTAGTCAATTTAAGCAAATCTGTAAGACTTCCAGAATTTGAAAAGAACGGGAGAGAAGGTCAGCCGACTGATGGAAAAAAAAAAAAAAAAAAAAAGAAAGAAAGGGGTTACAGTGTTTTAGCAGATCTGTGTTCCATAACATTGATTTTACTTTAATGGCCAAAATATGGTGGGATAAATTATTTGTGATGTGCTAACTTAGCGGGGAAGGAAATGCAGCATGTAATGAATATTAGCGGCAGCACTTTTATTCTTAGACCTCTTCATAAGCAGGTCAGTGGCACAAGGCAATGGGGAGTGGCTGCACCACTCATTTATTAAAAAAGTTTGTACATCCATATATCAGACATGTCTTTGTTTTCTACCCATCTTTTATCCAAACAAATGATTTAGTGCAAATTACCTCTCATCTGTTCTTCTTGTTTTGTTTTTTTCTTTACAAAAAAATAAAAAATAAATACAAAGCTTCAAAAACGAGAACGGACATGCAGGGCATACATGAAGGTACTGAAGCAATGCTTCTGCCCACTCTGCTTGCTGCTGTTCCCTCTGTCCCCATACTTGCTGTATGTGTCCCAGCCCAAGTCCAGCAGCATGCACCTACTGCACTTTCATGTACCCCACTCCCCCCTCCTCCTCCTTGTGCTTGCTGCTTTTCTGAGTCACTGCTTGACACGCAGCCGCAGTTGTACTCAAAGTGTGCTCCGAGACAAGGAGAAGACATCTCCAGTTGCTGGAACAGCGCTTCTTATGAATTTATTTTATTTATATTATTTTGAATGTATTGCTGTGTCGCTCTCACCTCTCTGCATTGATCACTATGATGGTTTTTGTCATTCATTCTTCACTTCCTCCTGTATGTTTATTGCGTTTGCTGAGGGGCGCACGCCCGGATGCATAACACCACAACTCAAAGAGATACTTTGTACTTTCATGCCTTTCATTTTTTTCATTTGATGGAGGTTTCACCGCCTTTTTTTTTTGTTTGTTTTCTGAGAGCTCTTGTAAAAATGTTCCCTTGTTTAGATGTGATTCATTATTGTTGTTTTCTATCAAGTGCCAACACCTGACCCTTTCACTGCATGCAAAGTATAAATGGTGACAGTTATTTTACAAGGACACAGATTTATCTGCAGCTCCATTTGTTTATTAGAGGTTATAAGTCAAATATTATATTAACCTTTTTTTTCTTTATCAACATCTAAACACTGAAGTATTTTGTCCTCCCATATCCCTCATGCATTAGGAACAACCTGTCCTCAACGACCCGCCCATCCAAATCTTTCCTTTGGGAGAGCATTAAAATAGATCAAGCTAATTAGGCAGCCAACAGAAATGCACACTTGAGTGAAGCGGCGGAGGGACAACAACTGAACGTAGCAAATACCACAATCCACCCATTTAACATCGTCGTTCATGTCACAACACCTAAATTTGAGTTGAGGGATGGTGACACTGTTAGAAAAGACTTAACGTTGCAAATTTCAACATTTATTGAACTAATGAACCAGGAGAAGATCTGGAACAGAGAATGTTGAGGCAGCAGTATCTGACATCTGCCATACCTGACACAACATCACATTAACTACCCCGCCCTCCTTCCACCAGACGTCACTGGCATCGATTGCGCGATTAAATGCATTGATTTGATTATTTCCTGAATTTACCCCGGATTGTCTGGATGACCCAGTCTAAATTTGTTCTCAGTCTCCTCTGAGCTTTCCAGTGATTTGGCACTGGACACAGACTCACAACTGCATATCACTCAAATATCCTTGACCTTTTTACGTCCTCTTGGAGAGTTACTTAATGACTGGTTGTACTTTTGTATACTGAGCTTTGCAATTATAGAATTTTAATTGAGAGCAGCCTCTGTTACTTTCATCAGACAATCTCTTAATATCCTGTTATCAGACAGGCCTGATTGGCTCAATATACTGCGATCCAAAGTGTCTGACTTGATGCAATGTCCTTGAAACAGAAACTGAATCCCTGCCATCAGTCATGTGCCCGTGCGTCTCTTTTAGCAGTTTGTCCATAAGGGCAAATGCAACTTCAAAGAAATTGTCTTTTAATTCAGTAAATGTCTGTTTTCAGACCTTGGCCACGTAGAAATATTTGTTTTTAAGAATTGATTTATGAAAGCTTTTACATTTTATCATGTTACAACCACAAGTGTCAGTTTCTTTTATTGCGACTTATTGATAGCTATGAAGTGAAAAGTCACTCATGTATTAAAAAAGTTATGCATTTGTAATCATTCCCTCCTCAGCCAGTACTTTGTCCAGCCACCTTTTGGGGTGTATCTCTACCGACTTGCATGTTGAAAGACAGATTTTTTAAAATTATTATTCTTTTTCAACATTTGTATTTTCAAATTAGACTAAAAACATTAGAAAGCTGGATATTCTAGTCCACAGACTCTCTCAACTGAATTTAGTTATGGAGTTTGACTAGGCCATTTTAACACAAGAATATCATCCCCACAACATAAAACTGGCACTACAAACTTTCAGCATGAATGTGTCTCTGAATACAAATACAAATATATGCCAAACTTTAAAAAAATATATATATAGTTTATCAAGTATGTTGANANCAACTAATTATCAGCTGGCCCTGGGTCAGTGACAGTTTTGCGTAGAAAATAGTGACTTCTAAGTGAATTCAGGATTCAGAGCGTCATCAGGGTCCTGAAGGATCTGGACAAATTCCGACACTCTGTTGCTCACAAATTGTGATGAAATACATCCAAGTTTGTGCAAAAAAAAAAAAAAAAAACACAGAAAGGCTCAGGAGATATGAATATGTTTTATTTTAATTCCTTAAAATATGATTTGTCATCACCCTCATTCATTTCAGTGTTTGCATGTTGATATTTCCCAAACAAAGTAAGTTGTTTTATTTTTTTTGTTTTTGTTTGAGACCTTTATCTTTGTAATCTGTTTTACCCGGTTTGACGCAGGCCATGGTGGACACGGTGGACAACCTTTTGCGACCAGAGGCCCTAAAGTCATGGCGCGACATGAACAGCACAGAGCAAACTCATGCCGCCACCATGTTACTGGACACTCTGGAAGAGGGTGCCTTTGTCCTCGCTGACAACCTCATGGAGCCTGCAATTGTCAAGGTTCCTGCAGACAATATAAGTAAGTGAAAAAGAGATGCCTTTGCGATCAGTGCAATCTCAGTTAATTTGATTATGTTCTGTTCATTACAAGAGTCACTCCTGACATAGGGAAACAAAGCAGCCTCGTAAAAAAAGAACTTTGTTTTCATAATAAGCCTTGAAGCCCCTGGGGGAACAGGAAAAAAAGTGCATATTAAGTTTAACGAGTCGCTTACTGACAAAGTGATGAATATCAGACAATTAAATAGACTGGATTCTCTGATTGCGCACACTTACTTTATAAATGTATGTGTCTAGACCTTGTAACTCTATACATTAATGTGAGCATTAGCCTGCTGCGGAGTCAGAAAAATTACATTGTTTATCCACAGGCTCCTCTTCCTTCCCTCATTTTCTTCAATTGTTACACCATCAAGTGGAAGGTTTCTCTTCCTCAGAGCTGTTTTATTCATATGAACTGGAGGCTTGGGGGGACAAAACTATTCCTTTATGATTGACATTTTTATTGCATCGCTCACTCTCGCCAAGATTTAGTGTTCACATGACAAATTCATGTGTCCTTTGCTCTGCATACTGTAACGGTTTGTGTAAGAATGTCTGTTAAAAAAAAAAAAAAAAAAAGCCCTGGTATTAATGTTTTTTGCTCTTTTTTTCCTGTTCCTTTGGAATCCGAGTCAAAGAGCCTTGAATGACTGATATCCTTTTCCCTGCTGTTTCTTAATTTTTCTCTTGTAACCAATCCCTCTCCAATCTCTGTGTCCGGCAGTCTTGGATGTGTATGTGCTCAGCACAGACGGCCAAGTCCAGGACTTTAAATTTCCACAGTCCAGCAAGAGTGGGATCTCGATCCAGCTGTCTGCCAACACCGTCAAGCTCAATAGTCGAAATGGTGAGCCTTACAAAGAGAGTGATTTGGAGGAAATTGAATCTGTTCCATTAATATGCAGCATTGCATGTTTCCATGAGAACATGAAGAAACATGCTGCGGCATTAAAAGAAAAAAAAAAAAATCTGAGCTCTCTGATTTCAACCACAAATATAGTAAATCTCAAAATGATTCATACCTGTTGACATTTTTGTACATGTTGTCACAATACAACAGACTAAACAAAGTCAAAATACTCCAGAGTAGAAAGGACAATGTTGCCTGGTTGTTAAAGAAAAATAAAGACTAATTTAGACATTTGCCATGCATTTGTTTTCACTTCCCTTTGCTCTGATAATAAAATGAGAAGCCAGACAAGGTGAGTGTTAACGAGAGAAGCAGGCTCAAAGCCCATTGTAACTATGGAGGAGCTGCGGAGATCCACAGCTCAGGAATTTTCCAACAGGATAGCTATGGACAAGTAGCAAAAAGAACATCATCTATTGAAAGAAAGCTATAAGAAGTCCAATAGACAATTTCTCACAATCCATGCAATTTACAGCATGTGGAAGAAGATGCTCTGCTCATCTACTACAGGGACAGATTTTTTTTTTTTCCTACCTTCAGTACATGCGTCACCGAAAGCTAACAAACCAAATCACCCTAAACAGGACAATCGCTGAAGGAAACTTGTCAGATGCTCCAAAAGATTTGACAATTTGATAGTTTCATCTTCCACCAGAATAACACTAATCCCACCACCAAAGCTGCCATTGAAACTGAAGTAAAATGTGGAAAGAAAGCTATAAGATTTTCTGTTTGCAGTTTAACATAAGCCCAGTAATGGAAATAACCAAAACTCTGAGTGTTTTGCCTTCTTGCAGAAAACAATGATACTGGCAGCATCATGTTAAGAGGAGGCATTTTTTCAGGAGGGCTGCTGGAAAGATGGCTGAGCTTTGTTAAATGGAGGAAAAGCTGTTAGAAGGTGTAAGAAACTATAGTAAATGCTCACTTACGTACCTTAGCTTATAGCCGGAGCATAGCGAAGTGCTGACTTAGTCTGCAGCGGGACTTAAAAATTGATATTAAGATACTATTCAGCAAATCTGACTGGGCTTGCCCGTTTTGCGAAGATGAATAGGTAAATATTTAAATCAATATGTCGATTTCTTTTTATTAAGCACATTTGCTCTACTTTGAGTTGGTCTGTCCCAGAAAAATATCAATAATACGTCCTACTTATTGTAACTTAAAGAAATTTGAAAACTCTTTCAAAGGGATGTGAATACATTTGTAAGAAGCTGTGCGTTTACCTGTCATTTTTATCCTAGTGATTTGATTGTTTTGTTCAAAACTTTACATTTATTTTCACTAGTATTAACCTAGGTGTTTAAATTTAATGTTTGGAATTGTTGCATCTCCATATTTTATCGCTGCTGTTTTATGTATAAGATCATTCATTGAATTGTCGTGGCTTTTCTTTTCTCTTTTTTTTTTTTTTTTTTTTTTTTTTTTTTTTTTGTTATTTCACTCTGCAGGAGTTGCCAAGCTAGTTTTTGTGCTGTACAAAAACCTGAGCCAATTCCTCGGCACAGAAAATGCCACCATCAAGATGGCAAACGAGGCCTACGGTCGCAACGTGACGGTGGCTGTCAATTCTGACATCATCGCTGCTTCGATCAACAAAGAGTCCAGCCGGGTGTTTATTAATGACCCCGTCATTTTCACCTTGCAGCACATTGACGTGAGTCTCTTTGTAGAAATGAATGAAGGGTCAAATGAAAAAACAGCCAGCAGACGGAGATCTGCAATTTGAATTGTAAATGTCTGACTAGGTCAGTCGGCAGTTTATTTAAGTCACTGAACATCAAATTAAAGGAGTCTTTAGAACCTAAGTGAATTCTTAATGAAAACTAATTCTTTAATCAACATTGGGATATAAATGATACCCATTTTCTTTTATAGAGGGGGAAATTAACTCCTAGATTAGCCCTACAATCTAGGATGAAATTACTGGAGCACCAATTATCTTTTGTCTTTTAAAGTTGTCACTAGAGTTCCCAGAGGGCCATGCGTGACTCTATTCTTTATCAGAGAAATTGTGCAATTCTAAAGACTTGCCGTCAAACAATTATGCCTCGCTGTTATTAAGGCCTCATAAACTCAACCATGCTTGGGTAGATTTGGCAAGCATGTGCCAAATGAGACACAACATATGAATTGCTTCATAAGAGCTGTGAAGAGAAAAAAAAAAAAAAAGAAGAAATCCTCATCCATATCGGTGGAGAAAAATGCTTTGTATGAGCAGGGGGTAAATGGCCTCCGTGTTCTACATGTGCTTCAATTTGAGGAAGTCAATTATTTGGACACTTAACCATATCTCTTGTTATCTGCAGATGGAGCACTACTTCAACTCCAATTGCTCCTTCTGGAATTACTCTGAGAGGAGCATGATGGGCTATTGGTCCACCCAAGGCTGCAAACTTCTGGACTCCAATAAAACGCACACCACCTGCGCATGCAGCCATCTCACCAACTTTGCCATTCTTATGGCGCATCGAGAAATTTCAGTATGTTTTATTTATTTGTCTAACTTAGTGGTTTCCATGTATTGTATGCTGTGTACCACCTCTATTAAATATGGGTTATTTGTTTAGTAAGATTGACATGAAAATACAGTATTAAGGGCTCTTTTTAAATATTCAGAAAAACAGTTCTATTTCCTTAGCTCCTTGTAGACAAAAATGTTTATTCATTGCGCGAGGCTTGCTGGCTTTTCCTGTGTAGAAGCTGACAGGGTGAGAACATTTCTGAGCTTTAAGTACTTTGAACATCATTACATACAACATAAACTCCCATCCCAAAAGATAGGAGTTTATGCTCTCATCAAAAATGTTAGTTCAACAGCAAAAACATTGAACTGAATCAGCATTTTTGATGTGACCTCTTGTTTTTTGAGCACAAAGCAAATCAAGTCTTTGCTCCAGTAAATTGGTGATAAGCAATCAGATTCTTGACTTCAAGAGATAACTCTTGAAACACCCTCACTCTAAATAAAAACAGTAGTTGATAGTGTCGCACAAAGCAAAGACAATGACAGTCTTGACTTCTAACAGCTTATTTCCACTTCACACACACATAAAAAAAAGTTCTTTGTCTTATTTCTTTTGCTTGATCTTTGTTCAATAGAAACATCTTTTGTGCAGCTGTAACAGCCATGAGCTGTACTGGTTGGTTCTCTGTCACCACTGTTGCTTAGTTTTCGGTACAAATTGTGACTATTGGCTGTCGTAAAAGTTGCTTGAATCCATTAAATGATCTAATGCCCTAATTTGCATAAATGTCCCTCTGCATGTAATTGGACTGGACACTGTAGGGGATAATAAAAGTGCTTTGAAAGTTACAATAACTGGGTAAAAAAAAAAAAAAAAAAAAAAAACCCAAAATGTGTTTAGAAAAGAGTTGCTTGAGGGATCTGAAAATTCCTAAAGTCTAGTGAGTTATTGTTACCAAAAGTAGTTTTACTAGGGCTTCTCTGTTAATTCTCCACTAGGTTTCATTCATGGGAATAGTAAACCAGATGTACTTACAAGCTAATCCTTGAGATTTTGTGGTATCAATTGCAATAAATATAAAAATAACAATTAAAAGCATTTTAGTATTATTTGTGTTTTTGGCAGTACATCTGTGATAGCCAGACGGATGTATTGTCTTCCTGTGGCAATGCATCTCACAAACATAAATACTATTCTTTAAAAACAGTGATTATCAAATGTGCTACTTCACTGCACCAGTTATATTGTGAGTTGCAATTGCACTTCTAGACAAAACATAATTACTTTCTGTCATAGAAATCTATTTATGTTTATTAAAGAGGTGACATTATGTATTTCCCAGGCAAATAGTGCCATCTCATAGCACATAGTCAAGTAACTACATTTTATCTATATCTCTTTAAGAAGGTCTGGCTCTTTCAGGGACTGTCCATCGATTTTACATAATACCTCTCCCCCCCGCCCAGACTTCCTCCTCTCCATTTAAGGCTCTTATTGGAAAAAAAATGGTTAAACAATAAAAGTTGGTATCTTAACAATACAGTCAGTTTTTCCGGTTTGCAAATATCAATTAGAGTTTCTCATTCATCACAATAAATCACAATTCGTGTCATGCTTTCTGATGACAAGAAATGACACAATAATTTCTTCTTCCCGGTGGTCAGGATCATGATGCAACTAAGTGGGTGATTTTGCAAAATTTATAAAAACGTGTTTTGTAGTTGGTGTAGCTTGGCCATTGCCTGCCTTCACAACTCGCCTCGATTCTCCCTTCAGCTCTCCGTCTGGGATTTCTCCCTTTGCGTTTGATTTCTCCAGTTGAATTTCAACCCAACAAGTCGGCCGACAGAAAGAGGAGGTGTGAATGATGGCATGGATTTTCTGAGCTGTTTTAGAATTGTAGTCTGGCTATGTAGGGTTGAGCGAAGCCATTTAGTCTTTGTTGGCCACGCTTCCAATTTTGAGCAATTAAAGTCGGAGGAATCTTTACAACATTTTATTGCTGGTAAAGATGTTGTGACTCTACTCCCCAAAGGGCTGTTTCCAATGCACACAATTTTCGGTAAACTGAGACAGAGACCACGCCTCCAGCAAGTAATCGTTTCTCAGTAGCTGAGGGTCCAGACTCTGTGTACGAAGCAAAGAATAGAACAAGGGGCTGGTTTTACCAGTTTATGCTTCATCTTTTCTTTCTAAGTACCGTTTATGGGAATCCAATTTCCACTTCCAGTAATAATACCATAATTTGAGAGCCATGGCTCTATCTAACTTATTTAGTTTTCATTTGATGACCTGTAGTTTTTTTAGAAATATTTGTAGCTAACCGTCTTTGTTTTAGATCTCATAAGATGGCATATTTCAGTCCGTAGAGGCTTTTAAGCTGTGAGAAAAGACATTACATTAGATTCCTGGATAAGGAAAAATTGAATTTTAAATGTGTTTATGCATTATTTACTTTGAAAAGGCAAAACAAATTAAAATGGAATGAAGGAAGCATAAATTAAAGCAAAAGAAGAGGATTATTTGTTTTAATGAAGATGTGTATCTAAATTCATTCCCCACTCAGTTTTATCCTGGGACCTTATTGGAAGTTTGCTTTGTCGAGGGATGGGAGCTTTTATATGTGTTTTCTAATAGTCTCACTGGCACTTACATTCACTTAATGTTGAATCGCTCTTATGTTCTGGGTAAAATAGCTGGGTTTTCTGTAACTAATCTATTATTGAATCTAAAAGGCAGTTCAGGACTTTTTGCTAAATTCTTCATAATTTAACACACCATAGGCTGCCTTCACCGGTTCTGGACAAAAAAGGGCCTTAGTTTTCCTCTTTCTCAACAAACATAAAAAGTACTTATTAAAAACATCTGAAAATCTAAAATGTTTTGTTTTATTTCCAGGGCAGCGTTCGAGATCACCACGAGCTGCTGCTCACCGTCATCACTCGGGTCGGCATAGTGGTGTCCCTCGTCTGCCTGACTATCTGCATCTTCACCTTCTGCTTTTTCCGGGGCCTGCAGAGCGATCGCAACACCATCCACAAGAATCTGTGCATTAATCTCTTCATTGCAGAGTTAATATTCCTAATTGGTATCGATATGACAGAACCCAGGGTAAGCAGGAATGACCCTATTGATTTGGTTTTGACTTATTACTTCTCATTTAATCTCCTCTCATTCCTCAAGACAAAGGACATTTATTTCAACAGGATTTTTAGCTTTTGCTATATCAAACCTAATCCACTTGTCTCTGACATGACGGGTCTTTTTTTTTTTTTTTGCCCTCTTTCACTTAAAGCCCTTGCGCCTGCCATGCCTAAGCCATAATACGTTTCTTTTTTTCATCACATGTTTCCTTCAGTCTCCACAAATACAAAAAACATTTTCAGCATATACAGCAAGGAATCAAAAGCTTTCATTGCTGAGCAGTATGTGAAAATCTTCTAAGTCTAACCTCACAATATGCATGACATCTTAATTTCTGCTGTGCTGATGGAAAAGTGGAGCTGTGCATTTGGTGAATGAATATTCATTAGGGTTTTTCATCAGTCTCACTGATTTACGTTTTGCTGAGTGAGAGTAGCAGAAATGGTAAATGCCATGTTTTCCTTGTGTGCTAAAATATAGGCCTTTTTGATATACAGTCCTGAATAAAGAGCTTCTGGCAGTTCTACAAGCTATACTCTTATGAAGGTTTTACTTACAGGCATGAAAAGTGTATATCTCCTGAGAGATTTATTTCATTTGTTTGTTTCATCACATCTAATTGTTTCAGAATTTCAAAAGCAATATAAGACAAAAAAAAAAAAAAAAAAAAA